ATGACTAGGCGCCACCTCATCAGTTTTGCCTATGTGTCATATCCATGTGTCAATTTTTGCCCTAGGTTGTGAAGCAACCTATATTTCTATCATTCCCAAAATTCCCAAAAAAATTGGGCATTCTTTACTATCCAAATCATTGCCTCATGACAATATTCAACTCCATTTTCCTGGTAAATCTTCCTCGGTAAATTTCCAAAGTTTTTGTTCAACTCGGACTGTTGTGAAGGAAGTACTAGCTAGGCATATCTTAATGAGCTGAATTTTTGCCACATCTTCTATATTCCCAAATCATTGCTCTCCACAAAATTTGAGCCCCATCTAACAATACATGTGAGTGTGGCTTCAACATTCATATTTCTGTCCAGTGTGGTACGTTGCAAAGCAAGTGACACCTAGGCTCCTCCATTTGAGCTGCGAATTTTCCAAGATAGTGTCCTTAGTAACCGATCATCCTCAGCCAAAATTCACGCCCATTAGCCATGTACATTTCCCTTACCGCTAATCAAACACTTGGCTGCTAATTCATGTTTGAGCATCGATCGGCCTCCTTGTGAGAATCTTATGTTGTAATTTTTCTTCTTAGCACCTACCTGGGGAGTGCCCAGCCCAGTAGACATGCCATAACACATGGCAACGCCACGGTCACGCGGTGACCACGCGACGGGCATGCGAGTCTACGCGCTCTAGAGTTGGGGCCCTCGGCCACTGCCCAAACCTCGACGTATCACCACCAAACCATGTATTTATGCTTAAATAGATACTTATGTACCTAGAAATGATTTTTGGAAAAAATAAAGAGCAAACTATAAGGCAGCTGCAGTTCAAATTTGACCCGCTTCCTCCTGAATCGGTGGAAATTTGTCTTTTTCACGAGAGGTGGATCAAAACTTTTTACACCCAACCATTTTGTCAATTGTGCATTAAATATGTTCTAGTATTTTAGAAAATTGATTTGGTCCAATTTTGCAACAAATATATGGTAGGTCCTTCACAAAAAACTCATTTTGGCCACTCGAAAAATGGAAAATGGTTTTTTCGTCCAAAGAAAATGAAAACTTCCTTAGGCAACATTGTTTGCCATTCCAATATGCACCCTTATGCACAATATGAGATCATTTGAACAACCTATGACATGAATGTGGCCACAAGATTGATCATTTGGCTTGAAAGCCATGAATCTTCACGCATGATAGCTCATTCTTGAGAACACTTTTTAAAAATAATTGTCGTATTACAAGTTTATTATTTTTCCTGGAAACTTGGTCACATATAATGACACAATGCGAAGGTTTCCCAATTTTTTGATTTTTTTTGAATTTTTTATGCCCGTTTTAAAATGCGGTCAAAACGGCGGGCTTGACCGTTCCTAGCTAGTTGTTGAATCTTGGAATTTTTTTGGTGTTCCTCTGATTAAATAGATACTTTTGTACCTAGAAATGATTTTTTGAAAAAATAAATAGCAAACTATGAGGCAGCCGTAGTTCAAATTTGACCCGCTTCTAGCTGAATCGGCGGAAATTTGTCTTTTTCACCAGAGGTGGATCAAAACTTTTGATACCAAACCATTTGGTCAATTCTGCATTAAATATGGCCCAGTTTTTTTATAAAAATGATTCGGTCCAATTTTGCAATAATTATTTGTTAGGTCCTTCACAAAAAAACCTCATTTGGTGCACTCAAAAAATGCAAAATGATTTTTTCGTCCAAAGAAAATGAAAACTTCCTTAGGCAACATTGTTTGCCATTCCAATATGCACCCTTGTGCATAATATGAGATCATTTGAACAAACTATGCCATAAATGTGGCCATAAGATTGATCATTTGGCTTGAAAGTCATTGATCTCCACACGTGATAGCTCGTTTCTGAGAACACTTTTTAAAAATAATTGTCGTATTACAAGTTTGTTATTTTTCCTGGGAACTTGGCCACATATAATGACACAATGCGAAGGTTTCCCAATTTTTTGATTTTTTTGAATTTTTTATGCCCGTTTCAAAATGCGGTCAAAACGGCGGGAATGACCGTTCCTAGCCAGTGGTTGAATCTTGGAATTTTTTTGATGTTTCTCTAATTAAATAGATACTTATGCACCTAGAAATGATTTTTGGAAAAAATAAATAGCAAACTACAAGGCAGCTACAGTTCAAATTTGACCCGCTTCCAACTGAATCGGCGGAAATTTGTCTTTTTCACGAGAGGTGGATCAAAACTTTTTACACCCAACCATTTTGTCAATTGTGCATTAAATATGTCATAGTATTTTAGAAAATTGATTTGGTCCAATTTTGCAAAAATATTTGGCAGGTCCTTCACAAAAAACCTCCTTTTGGGCACTCGAAAAATGGAAAATGGTTTTTTCCTCCAAAAAAAATGAAAACTTTCTTAGGCAACATTGTTTTCCATTCCAATATGCACCCTTCTGCATAATATGAGATTATCTGAACAACCTATGCCATGAATGTGGCCACAAGATTGATCATTTGGCTTGAAAGCCATGAATCTTCATGGAGGATAGCTCATTTATGAGAACACTTTTTTAAAAGATTTGCCATATTACAAGTTTATTATTTTTCCTGGAAACTTGGTCACATATCATGACACAATGCGTAGGTTTTCCAATTTTTTGAATTGTTTTGAATTTTTTATGCCCGTTTCAAAATGCGGTCAAAACGGCGGGAATGACCGTTCCTAGTTAGTGGTTGAATCTTGAAAAACTTTTGATGTTTCTTTGATTAAATAGATAGTTATGTACCTAGAAATGATTTTTGGAAAAAATAAAGAGGAAACTATGAGGCAGCTACAGTTCAAATTTGACCCGCTTCCTCCTAAATCGGTGGAAATTTGTCTTTTTTTACCGGAGGTGGATCAAGGCTTTTGACACCGAACCATTGTGTCAATTGTGCATTAAACATGGCCTAATATTTTATAAAATTGATTTGGTCCATTTTTACAAAATTTATTTGGTAGTTCCTTCACAAAAAAACCTCATTTCGGGCACTCCAAAAATGGAAAATGATTTTTCTGTGAAAAGAAAATGAAAACTCCCTTAGGCAACATTGTTTGCCGTTCCAATATGCACCCTTGTGCACAATATGAGATCATTTTAACAAACTATGTCATGAATGTGGCCATAAGATTGATCATTTGGCTTGAAAGACATTGATCTCCACACATGATAGCTCGTTTCTAGGAACATTTGTTTAAAATAACTACTGTATTATAATTTTGTTATTTTTACTGGAACTTGGTTATACATAATGACACAATGCGAAGGTTTTCGATTTTTTTGATTTTTTTTTGAAATTTTTATGCCCGTTTCAAAATGGGGTCAAAACGGCGGGCATGACCATTCCTACATAGTGGTTGAATCTTGAATTTTTTTGTGTTTCTATGATTAAATAGATACTTATTTACCTAGAAATGATTTTTGGAAAAAATAAAGAGCAAACTATGAGGCAGCTACAATACAAATTTACCCGCTTTCTGCTAAATCGACGAAAATTTGTCTTTTTCATGAGAGGTGCATCGAAACTTTTGACACCTAACCATTTGGTTAATTGTGCATTATATATGGCCTAGTATTTTAGAAAATTGATTTAGTACAATTTTGCAACAAATATATGGTAAGGCCTTCACAAAAAAACTGAAAATTGTTTTTTCATGCAAAAGAATTAAAAACTCCCTTTGTCAATGTTGTTTGACAATCTAAGATGTAAACTTGTGCAAAATATAACATCATTTGAACAAATATTTGATAGGTCTTTCACAAAAAAAACTTATTTTTAGCATTGAAAAATGAAATGAAAAATTTGTATGTAATCAATCATGACCAATTTATATGGTCAAAAAATCTTCAAATTGTTTGATGCGCTCTGATTGGTCCATAGGTATATCACGCGGATCATGCATCAACCACCGTCGGATGCTTCTGGATCCAACTATAGCTGGCCAAACGGGTCGGGATAGTTGGGCCGGCCCGGTAGCACGGCCGGCACGGCACGGGCCTGGCACGGCACGACACGTGCTAAACGGGCCGGGCCCGGCACGCGGCACGCCATGGGCCGTGCCTGGGCCTGAAGGGCGAGCACGCGGGCCGGCACGACACGGCCCGATTAACTTTTTTATATTTTTTTATGTATCCTAATATGGGCCAACAGGTAAAAATAGGCTAAAAACGCTCAATGCGCAAAATAGGAGGTAGATTAGTGGGCCTGGCGTGCCGGTGGGCCGGCCCGATTAGCATACGGGCCGTGCCTGGGCTGCAGGCTGCAGCACGCGGGCTGGCACGGCACGGCCCGTATAATAATCGTGCCTAGGCGGGCCGGGCCGTGCCAGGCACGATTAGGATGGGCCGTGCCGTGCCGGGCCGGGCCGGCCCGTTTGGCCAGCTATAGATCCAACGACAGCCCTCACCCCCTCACCCAACCGCAGCCCAACCACCCAAACCCTAACCCACAGCCGCACTCCTCCTTCCTCACCCGCACTCCTCCTCCCTCGGCTCCTCGCCGCCGCCACCTCCTCCCCGTCCCGCAGCGGCGCCCACCGCGTCACCTGCCGGCCGCCGTCGCGGGTGGCTGCGTCCGCGGCGACGACGGCGGCCTCGTCGTCCTCGGAGGCCGCGGTCGGTCGTCTCCCCATCCGCCTCTCTCCCCACAGTCGAGACAGACAAGCGCGGACAGAGCCAAGGAACCATGGGCTCCTTCCTGTCGTCCTTGTGGACCCCTCCCCCGCTCCCCGGCGACGACCTCGACTCCGTCGTCGCCGCCGTCCACTCCAAGCCCGCCTGGGACAAGCACTGGGAGGAACACCGGAACGCGTCCAAGCTGGTCCGTCCTGTTCCTCCTCTTCCTTACGAGCAATCAATCCCCTGCCTGCAGCGTGCTCCTCCGGATCTGACGGACCTTGCTAATCTGCTGCGCTTGCCCCGGCAGATGGTCATCGACTTCTCCGCCTCCTGGTACGGGCCCTGCCGCTTCATCGAGCCCGCTCAAGGAGATGGCCTCCCGCTTCGCCGACGCCCTCTTCGTCAAGATCGACGTCGACGAGCTCGCAGTACCCACCTACCCTACCTACCGCCTCCTTCCCGCCTCCTCTTGCTCCTGCTTGCTCGAATTCCGCGCTCGTCTACTAGTAACGCCACCGAATTGTTAATCTGGCTTGGGTCCTCGTGGAATCGGGAAGGGGAAAGCCTCTAGTTTAGTCCCGTCCCGTCTTGGAGAAAACAGGTAGCTCACGCCTTTTGGCTCGGCGAATTAGATCCCAGTTTCGCCCAATCATCCAACAAAGAAAATATATCCCTGTTCCACCGTTTATTTGGGAGGAATCGTCACTAGTGCTTAACTCCGGTAGATTTGGATGCATCGTGTGCTTAGCCGGATGACTGATTGTATTGAATCTATGAGCTGCTTGGGCATAGAAATCAGATGCATTGAATCGAAATCGACGGAGGTAGGACTAGATTGTGCATACGGGATCTCACTTGATGCCAATTATTGAGAATCACCTACAGAGATAAGAATTTGCACGTGGCATCTTCTAAAATAACCCGCACACTGCACCACAACTACTGTAACTTAGTGAGTATATATACAATAATATATAGGATTCATCTGCAGCAATAACAATTTCCACACAACATTCTGTAGATACAAATCTTCAAACAACATTTGCTATCGTTACTTGAGAGTAAAAGATGGCACTGTATCCTAAATTCAGTTCGTTTATCACCCCTTCTAAGTATATGCTGTTACCTACTTAGCTCTAAAATAGAATCATCCCCCGTTTCAACTATTTTATTCTAGGAACCCCCCTTCTGAATCATGCACAGTGCCTGTTACTATGGCAATGGATTTTATCTATGTGAGATTAGAATTTGAGTGCCATCATTCATCTCTTGGTATCTTGTTCTCTGTGATAACTGTTCATTGTTGAGTGCTATATATATATGTATATATTATATATATATATATATATATATATATATATATATATATAGCTTTGCTAAACTGTGCCTGAGCGCATATCACCTTATTCTACGCGCTGCACCCGCTGAGCGCGCCTAACGGTTAGAAGTCCAATCCTGAGCCGACCGAGAGAGCAGACCAGCCTGCATGCACCACGATCTATTTTTGATCGTAAATAACTAAGCAGAAGTAGTACAACATAGTAATTGAATTACTACTCAGATTCTCCGCTTCATTGATTAGTAAATTGCCATGCTCTTATCGGAAAATAATAAAGTGCTGGTATATCACGAAAACTTTCACTACAATTTTACCCCCATCCATACTGGTATTAGATTTAGAATAATCAGATTGCATGGTGTTCGTGACAAACAGTCTGTAATATGTTATCTATAAATTGAAAAATGGATGGTAGTAAACACTTCACTCTAGGTTGTAAATATGTCAATTATATGCGTACATTCTATTAATTGTTTTACAAAAAAGAATTACTTATCATTACTATAGTAACTGAAACGACTACTAAGAGCAACCAATATGAGATACATCTATACATAGTAATGGTTTTCCAAATCTAGCATCCCATTACTTCTTTTCCGAGAACATAATGCCGTTATTACTTGGGCACCTCTTATTACTAGAACTAAATTGTTTTACTAGTTTGATTTTTTCTTAAGCATTTACTAGAAGAAACATCCTGGCAATAGTTTTCATTGGAGCATTACTATGTGCCTTACTTTGTTTACGACCACATCTCAGGAAAAAACCGGTTGACTGGTTTGCGGGGCGAGGAGTGACACATGGCTGACGGTAACATATCTAGTTTCATTACTATAGTTTCAGAAATTTTTACCATGGTTAACAGGATGATTGGTTTGCGGGGTGGGGAATGTTGTGTGGCTGACGGTAACGCATTTAATTTCATTACTGTACTTTCAAGAGATTTTACCATGGTTAATAGAAGGGTTGGTCTGCGGGGCGGAGGAGTTGTTTGTGACATCGAGTAATGAATTAAATGTTGTTACTTTTTCTGGCAAAGGATTTTACCATCCATCATTAGCGTGCTGACTCGCTTGATTGATTGAGCGGCACGCGCTGCGGCCGGAGCGTAGGATTAGGCTTTTTGCGCGCTCGCTCATTTTAGCGTTACCGTATATATATATATATATATATATATATATATATATATATATATATATTCTAGTTGTCATGCAGTGCTTGTTCCATATTTTGTTGATGCACCGATAGCTGTTCAGAACTGCAGTAGTGTAGTTAGTTTTTTTGAATGATTTGGTGTGCATGGAACACTGATTTTTCTTTAATACACTGTCCAAGTCATGATTTTTCTCAACTGGTGCATGTATATATATTTGGGTGCTAGTCAATTAGAGAATGTCTGTGATACCATGTCTGTACTATGTGCCAGTGTAGTTGTACTGATACTTTGGGTTTCATCCGTGCAGCAGAGGACAAGGGCTTCATGGCCAACCAAGGCGCATGGTGCTCGCAAGCGACGAATGGAAGTTGTTCGGCATAGGCACGGAGGAGGAGGAGGAGCGGCACGGACGGAGGAGGACAGAGCACCTCTCTTCTTCTACGTTCTTCTCCATACCTTCACTTCTTGTATGTGCTTGTGCTGCAGCTCACCCATGGTCTTGTTTGTCCTGCAGGTTAGTGAGCAGCATCAGGAGGAGGAGCTCAAGCACGACCACCAAGAGGCACCATCGCAGCAGCAGGTAGCACATCCATCTCCACCTCCCTCTCCCTCTGCTCCCAATCCTTTTTATTAGAATATATTGAGTACATTCTGTCAACTTGTGTGTCAGTAAGAACGAAAACTAATTATCTAAGGTCCTGTTATTACTACCTATATATGACATTACTACTGGATTGCCTAGCGCCCCTGTTCATGGTGGGCTAAATTTGTATTTGCTCCTGCTGCTGCGTTTTGATGATCATGTGTGTGATGCATTTTGATGATCTCCTTGTACCAGATGAGTCTGTCGATGAAGCGGCAGCGTCTCCTCTAGAGGGTGACGGTGGCGGCGGCGCCGGCGCCTGTGTGCGGCTTCGACTACAACCTCCTCTCCGGTGAGTCCATCTCCTACCTCTAGCTCCATCCCTGAGCTACTGTAATACCATGCTCTGTTTCATGCCATGGCTTATTTAGTCTCTGCTTGCTGTGCCTTGTGTATTGGAGCCTAATTAGCTTCTGTTAGGGGATAATCTACTGGTTATACCAAGATTTTACATGAAATTTTGTTCTGCTTATTCTGCTAAGGTTGTTTGCAATGGTTATACATATGTTACACAATTTTTGCTGCTGGCTAATCAGCTTTAGAGATGGTAACATGGTGCTGCACTCTCAGGATCATCTTATGACACAGAATCAATTTTTGGTGTGCTCAAATTTTTAATTTTAGTGATAAGGAAAGATCCGACTGATTTATCCACCTTTTGTTGTGAGCAACTAATTTGCTTTTTACTAGCTGCTTTATTTGCTTGCTTGCTTGATCACTAGCATGAGCTTGGTTGCCCTGAACTTCAGTGTTTTATTTGCTTGCTTCTCAGTCTCTCTCCCTCCCTGCAGGTGCCACTGGACGCAAGGGTGGAGCCTATGCCTCCTTGCTGAAGCTTCTCGCTCTACACCAGTTTATGGTGCTGCGGATGTGGTTAAGATGGCGTTCTACACTATGCTTCTTATGTTGCATGTGAATGGGGGTGAGTAGATAGAACTGGAGTGTTCTTATATGAAGGCAAGTTGTTGCATCTGGAGCACATGAGATGTGCTAATGCGAGTTGGAACAATGTGATGTAGTAGGGCATGTACAATGGTTGATGAGGCGGTCTTATCTTAAGTCTTGCATGTATTTTAGAGATGACAAAAAAATATGTCTACAATGGGTTATATCTTAGCCTTATCTTCAATAACTTGTCATTCCTTAAAACATGGTGAGACAAACTGTGCTAAGAGATCATCTCTTGTCTTCTCTTAAATAAGAGAAGACAAACCTTTTCTTATTAGTTCTCTCTCCTCCACATCATCATTTATCCTACGTGGCACTCCTAAGATAGCATCATTGTACATGCCCGTAGTAAGTTAAGGCAAATTGTGTAGATGATGTATTCCTGTGTAATTAAATGTTGTATTCTCTGTGTACATGCTGCTTTAAATGACACGAAGATTATGAAAATTATGTACATGCTACTTCATATGGAAAATAGTACTCGGCCTGAATTGGCCATGGCCCAAACAAAGTTGGACTGGAGCTATTTATTTAATGGAAAAAACACACTAGAGAAGGGAGAAAATAATAAGAAATTGAATATTAAAAGGCCACGACCTAGAATATAAAAAGGCCGAATTGTGAATATAAAAAGGTTGCAATGTTGGGCTTGGTCCATGAATCTGACAAAAAAATTCATAGGCAAAAAATATAAATGGGCTGAATTAATGGGCTTGGCCCATATAAACACCGAATTGGACAGGGCTGATTCTTGTGCCACATCAGCTTGCCATGCTGCATGCCTACGTGGTTTGGGAGGCTGTTAGTGACCAAAAATTTGGACGTGGAACCAAAGACCTTTTACAGAAGGTCGCTAATTTCAGTTTACGACCGCCAGCTTTTGACCTTCTGTTTTTGGTCAAAAAAATGTCGTAAATGAAAAACTATGACCTTTCAGCGGCCAATAGTGAGGGTCACAAGTTGACATATTTCTTGTAGTGTTCGAGCCGGATCTGTCGATCGCTCGACTGCCGTCCCAGGTGTCGCGATCGACTGAGGAACCTAGACCTCAGGCGCTTTCCCGCCCAGTTCCTCGTCTTTCCTCTTCCTCCCCCTCAGCGGTACTTCTTCATTGTCCGAGAGCACGACAACGTCCCATGGAACTGCAATAAACAGAGAAAGTCGTATGAATAGCTGACAAACAATCCAGTCGTCCAAATTAATTCGAATCGGGCAGACTTACTGGCTTTTGAGGTAGCTGCGTCGCCGGTTTCCTCATCGTCCAGGTTCTTGTCAATGTCCATGTCAGTCGCAGCTGAGGCCGGGCTGTAAAGGTTCATCATCCACTCGGTCAGAACAAGAAAATCGGTCGGAACAAGAAATACGGGAAGAACATTTACCCAGAAGCAACAGGAACATCCATCTTGATTGTAGGCAAGGTCTTCCGAGCCTTCGAAGGATTGATCTTGCGATGCTTGGTGACCTTCTTACCAATTCTGGAGTCGAAGACCGAGTGCGCTTTTGAGATGGAGCACTCGACGCCACAGCTTTGCCGCGCCTGCCCGCGACATCATGGTGCTGCTTGGATCGACGTTCATAACGAGGCGGCGAGTCGGCTACTTCATCATCGCCCGACTCATCACTCTCATCTTCATCATCGTCGACTGGTGACTCCCACTCGCCGCTCTCCTCCGCACTGTCCTCGCCTTCTTGGTCTTTCTCCAGAGCTTGTTCATCATTGGGCATTGAGTACATCTCCGTGTAAATCTACAAAACAAGGAGCCGAACACAAGTCAGTCGGATCAACAAACAGTCGGAAAACACGTCCAAAAACTCAGTCGTAATGGCCAAACCTTGTCTGGCTGATTGCTATCGCTGAAAGGGTCGACTCTCCTGGCGCCCTAGGGTTGTCCTTGTTTCCGGTGATACCCCTCAGCCACTGGGCCACTGTTTTGGCCGCCACCTCCTCCGGATGAACCCGAGCAGTGTCACCAGCCCCGGAGTACATCCACATGGAGTGGTCACGAGCTTGGAGTGGTTGGATGCGCCGACTGAGGAACACCTCTAGCAGATCCATGCCAGTGACACCTTGGTTGATCAACTGAACTACTCTCTCGACAAGCATGCATGTCTCCGCCTTCTCCGCGGTAGTCACTTTCAACGAAGCTGGAGTTTGAACACGATCAAAAGAGAAAGGGGGAAGTCCAGTCGACTGGCCTGGCGTCACGATATCCTCGCAGTAGAACCAAGTCGACTGCCAGTCATCGAAGGAAAAGAACTTCTCTTCCTCTTCTGAATACCCAGACCCTCACACATCTGGGTAACATGGGTTTTCTCGTCGCTCGAGTTCGCTTTCTTCACTATTTGGGAGCGAATGGTAAAGATGTGCTTGAAAAGACCACAGTGTGGTCGGCACCCCAGGAAATTCTTGCACATGGATACGAACGCAGCAAGATACGTGATGGTGTTGGGAGTAAAATGATGGAGTTGGGCCCCAAAGAAATTCAAGAAACCTCGCAATAAGGGCTGTGGAGGAAACGAGAAGCCGCACTCGACATGAGTGGCGAGCAGTACACACTCACCCGGTCGCGGCTGCGGCTCCGTTTCCCCCTTCGGCAGCCGCGCGGACTCGTGGATGATCAGCCCTAGCTCGGCATATCGTCCAAGTCTTCCTGTCGAAGTGAAGATCGGATCCAATCTCCCTGGATCCAACCCGATGGCAGCCCCGAGCGCGATGAAGACCCCCGATTCGTCTTCTTGCTTTTCGCCGCCCCCGTCGCCTTCTTTGCGCGTTCCAGCGCCGCCGTTTTCTCCTTCCCCATGGCGGCGGAGCGGTGGCGTCGAGAGTGGAGAAGCCGGATGGGATGAAGGAGCCAGAGGAAGAAGGAAAATAAGCATGCACAGTGCAGACGCCTCAACCTCGCCGCTTTTAAAGGCCCACTTCCGTGTGGCTGACGCGTGGGTCCGGGTGATCCTGTCAAATAGCTCAATAGTCACACATGGGATACATGGCGAAAAAGGTGGCACAGAAATCGAAGCGTCCTGTCTATCCACTCCGCTTACCATGGCGCGCTCCGTCTGGCGCGCTTCTACCGAAATTTCGAATCCTGCGAAATCCGGGATCATCTGCAACTGATCACGCCAAAGATTTCGCATCAAAGATGACACTCGACAGGCGACATTATAAAACCAATCGGTAATTTCTGAATCGATCAAGGCGACTGAAACAAAGCCAGAAGTTCCAACATCGGCCTCCATTCAGAGATGAATTCTTGAGGAAGGCAAGAGTCAAGGCAAGATCAACTTCAACCTTATTTTCACTTGGTCCTCAATCCATCGGGGGCTAATGACGAGGACATAGACCTGGGGTAGGGTAATGGGCCCGACCTATACGTCCTACCTAAGGTCCTTGTCTTAGAAGCAAAGAGGTTCAAGAGTAAACAGGGAGGACCCAATAAAGGTGTCGAGTGCAATCCACTCGACCTACCATTCACTCGGAGACTCCTTCTTCTTTAAGTCACTCGACTACTCAACCATTCGACCATGTAAAAGACCACTCGACGTACAAGAAGACCTAAAGCCGCTCTGCGCCGCAACGGTCAGGCATTTACTCATATATTTAATGATCATTTGTAGCACTTTATTACAGACGTTACATGTAACGCTCTCTCTTTATGAATATTGAACCCTATGTAATGGACGGGAGCAGGGGTCCTGGCGCACTCTATATAAGCCACCCCCTCCTCTGGGACAAGGGTTCGCACCCTCTGTAACAGACACACATATAATCCAGTCGACCGCCTCAGGGCTCCGAGACGTAGGGCTATTACTTCCTCCGAGAAGGGCCTGAACTCATAAAACTCGCGTGTACAACTCCTCCATAGCTAGGATCTTGCCTCTATATCCCTACCCCCCATTCTACTGTCAGACTTAGAACCACGATAGAGGCCGCCGACGAGGCCTACATGCAAGAGCTCCGTCGGCAGCACCCGGAGCTCGTGGAGGCGAAGCGGGCGATCTTTGCCGACGCGAAGGGCGACGAGGTTATCGTGCTCTCCTTTGATGACGAGGTCGAAGGCGGCGAGGACGACTGCACGGAGGGCGGCGAGGTTATCGCGCTCTCCTCTGATGATGAGGATGAAGGCGGCGGCGACGGCGGCACGGAGGGCGTCGAGGTGAGCCCCGATGACGAGGAGATCGACGTCGACGAGTGGAGGAGTGCCTTCCCCAACGATCCCGACGACGACACCGGCCTGGAGCCGGCTCGCGGCACATCGTACATGACGAGGAAGGATTGGCTCGACATCTACTTCGACCGAAAGTAGTTTAGCTTAGTTTAAATATATGTTTTATGATCGATTATGCAAAACTATCTATGTTTATGTTTGAATGCATGCTACTTTCGGTTGAACCTGCTTTGAACTTGATCAAATTGAAGTTTACAACCTTAAGTTTAGGGGATCGACTAGAAAAGGCCAAAAAATAATTCCCGGAGTGTATATATATCCGCTAAGGGTTTTATTCCTTTAACTTTTTAAGGATCGGCTAGAGATGGCCTTATGACTTGTTTATTTTAGTTTTTCACAATGTGATGCTCTATATGTGCAACTATTTGCCGTGCAGTTCAATTTCATCAATAACAGTTTCAACAATACCACTATGAATTACGATATTTGGTTGTTGTTAAGGATATTGCAGTTAACATGCCTTTTGTTTTTTTTACAATAACTAGTGTACTTTAGACCTGCACAATACCAGTTTGAATGACTATTTGCTTGTTGTTAAATGTTATGCCTAATGCAATTAACACACCTTTCCATTTCTTGTTTTGCTTAACTAGCGTGCTTAAGCCTGCACACTAAAGCTATCATTTATAGATTATGTTGTCTACCATGGATATATTTGGTTGATGTTTAGCCTGTTGTGCTTAACATGCCTTTATATGTACTCATGCAGGACAATATTGAGAACAGTGTTATTTTCCATCGAGGTTAGTTTCATCG